CTGTAGTAAAAAACTTAAATAAAGCAGTCGGTGTAGAAACAATTAATGAGATCTTCCCTTGCCATTTGCCTTGTACATTATAGTATTTTGAAATTTCTTGTGATTTTGTAGTAAAATTAATAGATGTAAACTTATTATATGCGAAAGGTTTTAATGACCTTCCCTAAACAGATATAATTATGAAGTTTACTAATTGTCTTATTTTATATTGTTACGAAATGTACAGGCGCGGTAAGATGGTTTCCCCAAACAGTTTAGGGTTCCACTTTGGCGACAAAATGGCGATATCATGGATTTTGGGAACCTTCTGGACGAATCTTTGGTTTGACCAGAATGTCCCGAACACAACCGAAAGCTATACAAACCCTGCGGTCTCAGTCATTAGGGGTTCTCCAGAGAGGTCCCGCTAGCGAGCCGTGCGGAGTCTATCGAGTGACAGCGGGCAAAGTGCCGAGTGGGTCTCGAGTGCACCGAGGAGTCTGTTGTTGTATCGCGGCTCGTCGAGAGAGTGTTGCTCTTAGGAACTACTAACCGAAGTGAGAGCCATGCTCTGTGGTCGTATGCTCGCGATTGTAGCGTGGAAGTCCTCAGAGTACGGGAGTGCCGAAACGACCAACAGAGTCGGAGTCGATTTCTTTGCGTGAAGCTGTCCTCCACCTATAGCCTGATAACTTGAAGGCTATGCGCTGATTGTTTCATGCTGTTTAGATATATCTTCGACGACGTAAACGTGTATGACTGTAAATGTGTAATCCGATATACAGTAAATAAAGTGTGTTTCGATACTTTCATAAAGTGTTGTCATTTTCATCCAATCTACGAACCCCGTTCAACTGGTGTCAATAACAAAGATAGAAAAACGTACAATGGTTCAGAATGGGATTTGAGGGTGAATGCCAGTGACAATACCAAGGAAGATCATTAAGACACCCGTACTGCCTTTGCTGAATTCAAGAAAAATTAAGCCGACAGAGATTGAAACCGATAGCGAGATAGAACCGGAATATTCTGAGATAAAGCCGGATGGCATTTGCTGAATAAAAGCCGGATTGATGAAAAACTGATATAAAATGACAGCTGAGATCAAAGCCGGACTAACGAGAAAAATCCTGCGGCCAAGAATGGCGGAGCAACTCCACGCTGAAGGTACTTACAGAAGAAACGGAGGGCATAAAGACTATGTAAATGAGAGAATGCATCTGAAGATCAGAGGATGAAGAAAAGAAGGAAGTCGTATAACTGTCTGAGAGATAAGAATGAAGATGAACAACTACGATAAAGATAAGAAAGAAAACACAAGAATAAAGCGCGAAAGAAGCTTTGATTCTCAGTGTCTGAATGAAAGAAGTGAAAATGCGACTTTTAGTTCGTCAAACTATTAGTAAAATTACGAAGTCGCAGTTAGCAAATTGACCATCTGAAATGCATGTGATGCAGAGATGGAAGAACTGACGAGCTTACGCAGGGTCACCAGTACTGCAAGAAGATTCTCCCTTTTCACAAACTGAGTATTTGTCCCTATACTACAAGTTGTAGACACGACTTGATTTTAAGCGAGGATACATGTGTTGTGAATGAATTTTATCTCTGATGCAGAATTTGGAACGGTTCACAGGAAACGGAGGTAAGGGCATGTACCACGCTCAAATATCGAGGTGACTGTATCATGGTGTAAATAACAACGAGTGGTGAACGAACTGTTTTAGATTTTCCTGTGGATGAAAGCCTAAAGAACTGACTCTTAAACTGTGATATGCAAACAGAAATACTCTGAGAATGCAGTGGAAAAGTTTGACCCGGGTATATTTTATTGAAAAGACTAAGACTGAAATTCATTCTTAACTTTAATTTGTATAATTTAAAATTGTGATGTGTTTAATTTGTGTTTCTAACTTGTAAATAGTGTAAACATTTGTTTCTTTAGTTATGTTACTTGTTTGTTTTATTATGTTTTGTTTGTATTGAATTATGCTTCTGACTAAGGGTTGTACTGCCCGGGACGTGCAGTCCTTGGGAGGGGGCAGTGTTACGAAATGCACAGGCGCGGTAAGATAGCTTCCCTGCAAAGCAGTTTAAGGGTTGCCATAAAATGGCAAAGGAGGGCAGGGTTGCCATATTTGGCGAGAAATCGTCCATTTGCCGACAAAATTGGCGGTATACGAAGGACGGTGGGAGAACCTCCTGGAAGGAATTCTAACCGGTTTAGCCCAGAATGTTCCCGAACACAAGCCAAAAAGCTATATAAACCCTGCTGGTCCGCAATCAGTTAGTGTGCCTCGTCTAGCGAGTCAATCCCTGCGGAGGCGATCGCGTTGACAGCCGGCCAGTGAGTGCCGAGTGCACTGAAAGAGTCTCGTAGAGTAACGCGGTTAGTGCATCGTCGAGAGAGCGTGTTGAGCTGTGGAAACGACTGAACCGAGAGTCAGGAGCTGTGTTTTGTGTGTCGTCAAGTGCATCGCGAGTTGTAGCATGGAGAGTCTTGAGAGTACGTGGAGTTCCGAGAATGACCAAGCAGAGTCGGGGTACTCCGGAAAGGAGAGTCGGGTGCTTTTCAGGAAGCTGTCTCCACCGTGATATACCTGATAACCGTGTGAAAGGCTGTGTCGCTGATTGTGTCAGCGTGTTTATAGTAGATTCATTCGAAGACTGTAAAAACGTTTTTCGAGCTGTCCTGATTGAATACTTGGCCTAATAAAGTGTGTTATTCGATACTTCATCAAGTGTCGTCGTTATTCACTCCAAATCTATGAACCCCGTACGAACTGGTGTCAGAAGAAATAACGCAACAACTGGTGTCACAAGAATCAGAAGAATAGAAAAAATGTAACAATATTCATAAAATTATATGGTCCATTGTAAGGCTGTGTAGAATTTTACTTACAAATTTAAAGGACCTAACTTGAAAGACAACTTATTCATCTTAAATTTTAATTTTTGTACATTTTTTTCTAAATTTCAATTAACAAATATGAAAGATTTTATGTCCATAAATGCAAACTTTGATAATTATACAGTACTAGAAGACACTTACTTTATTAGTAAGTAATAGTAAGTAATTATTAAGGAATACAGATTTTTAGCTTCTACTGTATTTAAGCATCCCATAGCCATCAGCAAGTTGTAATGCTAATTTGCATTGTAGAGGACTTGCCTATTTTTTTTCAAAGTTTATTCTGAAATTGTATGAATTTTGTTAGTTTTCAATGCTTATTAAGTTTTAAATTCCATTTTACATTGCTTTCCAATTGAGAAAATGCAGATTATTTTGGAAGTGTAAATAATTAATTTTAATGCACGTTTGATAAATATGTAAAAGAAAATTTTGGTTTTATATTGACAACGATTCTTATTTGGAGCTAAGGACTACAAAATATTATCATTACAATTATGATATTCAAGCAGTGATTTTGAGACTTGTGAATTTTCACAGTTATTTCTTGAAAAAATTAGAACATTTCTTGCACTTTTTTATAGAAAAATAAAAATGCAGAGTTTCAAATTTCAACACAATTTTCAATTTGCATTTATTGTTAAAAATGATATTTACTAGATTTTATTTAAAAATATTATTTAGGTTAAAGTTCTATGATTTTTTTCTCCCCAGTTGTTGTATTTCCGTTGCTTCGCTAATGCTTTTTTCTAAAAAAGGCTTTTTCTCTTTGAAAAGGGAGGATATGTACATAAATCAGCTTTATAATTTAATTTAGTAATAGCGTCTTAATTCCTCATTTTTATTTCGGGTATTTCCTCTCTGTATTTTGAAAGTAGTAATAACTTTCCTGACTGCACCCTTACCAGATTAATTATTCTATGTCACAAGGCGTGTGTAATGCTGATCACATAGCTAACTGGGAACCTAAACGGAAAATTTTGAGAACTGAAACCTTTCCAACCTAAACAAAAACCTTCCTCTTGGCGATCTTCCATACTCAATAAATGCACAATTTCAGCTGGGACGTTTTTTCCCTCGCTCTCTTCCTATCGCATCAATATTTAATAATGTAAATGTTCTGGAAAATATGCAGGATTAGAGTACCAAGTAAACTTTGACCACAAATGTGAATTTAAATAAAAACAAAATTTAATCTGCATCAACTGCCAAGTTTCCTTTCATCATGGATTAGCAGTCTACAGAATCAAAAGTCTCTCTCTTCAATATGGATCTACGATCCCTCCTCTCAATGTGATGCGCAATCAGTATTTCTACATAATTATATGTAAGATAAAAAAATATATAAATCAAAAATAACCCTGTAATTCCTCTCTCTCTATTCTAAAAATAGTAATCTCTCTTTGCACTGCGTCATTTCAAGAATAATCCCTGTCATACGACTCTTACATAATTCTGATGATGTAAATGTAACTAAAATACAAACTTTCAATAATAATTTTGCAGCAGTATTAATTATTAAAAAAAAAAGGCATTGAGAACGAAAACCGACTCAGTATCATTAATTCATCCTCAACAATAGAGTACTCGCTCATAGCCCTAGCTGGACTGCTGCTCTCTTCTTATCCCAGATCTATCCAAAATGTAAACATTTTTAAATAGACGCAAATAATGTGCCAAGTTGTTTGTGGACACAACATATTTACTGAAAATAAAATGAAGATTTAATCTGCCTCGGCCACTAGTTTCCTATTTATTATGGATTAACATTCTATGCAATCAAAAGTCTTTTTCTTTAATATGGATCTATGTTCTACACTCTCAACATTTGCTACGTCTTTTCCTCTTTTCTTTACATATATATATATATGTATTGAATTATATACATATATATATATATTGTGTATTCAGTACATATATGTGTGTGTGTATCTGTCTGAAAATTTTACTTAATAAAGTTTTTGGACCAAAATAAAACAAGACAAAACATAACATTCCCTCTAAAGAAAGGCGATCCAAGTATCACTAATACAGAAAATATGGTACAAGTACTTTTCATCATTAAGTAAATTAACAACATATTTCTAAAAACATTTTTAAGACTTTTTAATAGATTATTTCTTGTTTTATTTCACAATAAAATTTTTTATTTAACAACTGATATTAGTTCAGTAAAAAAGTATTAACACTTGACTAAATCCATCTTTAATTACAAAAATATACAAATGAAAAATGAAATTCGTTCTTTCAATTCTTAACTCTTTCGTTATTAATATTTGCTTTTACATACATAAATTTAGAGTCATTTCTTGTGATAAAATTTTAACTACATTCTGGGTACTTAAATGCATAACATTTTCAATTTATTAAACATCTTTATGAATCAAACATGCCATTATTAAAATGTACAAGATCTGAATGGAATGCATGAAAGTAATCTACACATAAAACAGAATAACAAAGAGTGTAGGTCACTGTACATTACATTTCAAGAGAGTGACTAACATAAGCAACTACTGACATCAGGTTGATGGGCTTGCTTTTGGGGTAATGGGTTTTCGAAATGACTTGTGGGTAAGATCTTGGGCAAAGGTGTGTCTTCTCTGAAGGGTCGTTGGCCGTCGTGAGACAGGAGAAGACAACAAAGAAGCAGTTCCTCGAATTGTTCTAGACCGAGTAACCCTTCCAGCAACAGCAATTTTGCCTTCAGTATCGGAAGCATTTGATGACAGATTAGCAGTGCTTGAAGAGGACTCTCTTTGCAATGCTTTAAAATAAACATATTAAATATCAGCAGTAATTTTTTAAAAAAGGGAAGAGATTTTTCATTCTTATTTACATTGTTAATTTAACATATGAAAAATAGTGCACAGCTGAAATCGACTTTGATACAGCTGAAATGGACTTTGATACAGCTGAAATGGACTTTGATATAAACATTGATACAAAGTTATTCAACACAAAAGTTAAGCTTATTTTAAAAATTTACAAACATAAAAATGACATAAGTAATTGCCCCATTAGATATTGGTTGAATACTTAAATCAGGGAGCATATTTTTTTCAGATTATCCTTTGACAAGCAGCATATTAGGGATGTTGTTTTGTGCCATTTTTGCTCGTAAGTTTACATGATATCAGAAACTTTATTCTTACTGCTGTAGAAAGAATTGCTTTGGATATGCTAAGCAAGTGTAGCAAGAATTTAACTATTGTTTGAGCTATTCATACATTTAAAAGCTGTCACATAGACCCATTAAATGTACAAATTGGAGAAGTTTCTCTTTTCCTTATTTACTATATGTCAAAGTTAAGCTTATTTTAAAAATTTACAAACATAAAAATGAAAAAGTTAAGCTTATTTTAAAAATTTACAAACATAAAAATGACATATAATAATATACCATTTTTTGTCATGATCAACTCAAAGAAACAATGAAGTGTTTACAAGCGAGCCAGTTTTAGATCTTCAGGCTGCAACAGAAACTTGAATCAGCCATTCTGCTGCTACTTAAAGGTTTCATGAGGTTGAACTTCATATGAGAAAGCCAATGGTTTCCATCCCACTCACTTAATTTTCCAAAGGGATACATTTAAGGTAGTGTCATCATCACATTCAATAGAGCCAAAAGGAAGGGATCATCTGATGAATCCAGATATAACTTGAACTATGTTTTTAGACATGCTTTGATCTAAGAGGAGCAAGGAACATGAAATTTGCCCTCAGAAAAATCCTCTTTCTCAGTTTCATGGTTTGGGTTGGAATCATCAAAAATGGTCACACCAAGTTGTATAGCTGTATATATTTAATGAAGATTCTGTAAGCAGATGATGACAATATCTGCCTGCACTAAGTATGTTCAGCTTAATCAGCAGACTTACATAATTTAGCACGTGTGGGATACTTTAGATTAGGATCATGCATATCAAAATGAATTTTACATTTATAAATCAATCAGTTTCTGAAAGCATATTCAATACAATTATTTTATTTCACTTTTTAACTAGATGGCATTTTTAATATATCTATACAAAGATTTTCTTCATGAAATAGCATGCTTTTTTAAAAAAGGATTAAATGGCATGGATAGGTATTGAAGGCCAACTTAAAGCATGTGAGCTTTATAAATATGCACTCAATAAATAAGGACAGAAGATGCACTGTCATACTTTTATTCAATTTTTAAATTATTTTTTTATTAAATTATCTGTTAATATTATTTGAATTTGTGTGAGTTGTTAGCAGAAAAGTTCCAGAGTTTAAAAAATTCTTACATGCCCCAATATAGCAGTTCCTGAGCTTTCGGAAGAAATATATGTTACTTGGACATCATGGTCATCAAAATCAAAGGATAATAAGAAAAAATATGCACACTAAGTTAATATTGCAACCAATGCCCAATGCTGTAATTATTTATTTTAATTAAATACACAAAACTGCATTTCTGCACATACATTAGTAACAAAAATACACAAATTCTGTGACTGACAGTGTGGTGCGAAATGGATATATGTTGGAATTTTGGGCTGTAGTGTTGTTTAAAGTGAACATATTTTCTGAGAATGATCTGTATAAAGTAGTTATGGCTCAAAGGCATCAATCGTTTAAGTGGAGGTCAAAAGTGATGAATAATTGGTAGAATCAAGGGAGGTCAAACATAATTGGAGGTCGCTCAAGTTTTGAATATCCCTCAGTGCCATATCAAAAGTTTGAAGCCACTTTTTAAGCACTGGTCAGTTAATAGACAGCCTGATCAAGGGTCATTAAGAGTAACAACTACATCAGAAAACCATTTTCTGTCATTTTTGGCTCGAAGAAACTGCCAAGCAGCTGCAAGAGATTTGGTTTTAGACCTTGAGGTTGCCACAGCCTATCTACTATTAGCTATTCTACTGTTGAATGAAGGCTTAATGAGATTGGATAGTATGTGAGAAAACCAATGATTTGTATCCCACTCACTCCAGCTTCCAAACAACCCCATTTAAACTGGTGCCATCATCATGTTCAAAGGAGCCAAGATGAATATTGTTTACTGATGAGTCCAGATAGTGTCTGAACAGTGATTCTTAACATGTTTTTATCTGAAGAGAGGAAGGAACACATTTGCCTTTCTTTGTCCATGAAATATCCCATTTCTGCAACCGCATTTTAGTAGATTTGGAGAGGAATCATAACAGATGGCTGCAGTAAGCTGCATATCTTTCAAGGAGGTTCTGTAACCTCTCGGGAATATGTGGATGAGGCACTGGAACCCCAAATTAGACTGTTTAGGGGTGCTGTTGGCCCAGAGTTTTAGATACTGAATAACAAGGCTCAACCTCTTTGAGCATAGCATATGTGTCACAGTTCTTGCAAACAGAAGATACCACTCGAATGGGTGTGCCGCCTTACTCAGACTTGAACGTGATTGAGCGTGTATGGGATGCCTTAGGACACCGAATTTTACTGCCCCAAATTCCTCCCCAGACTCTTCAGGAGCGGAAAAGTGCACTTTTAGGAGAGTGACACGCAATTCCACAAGACTTCATCAACACTTTGGTAATGTCTATAAAATCAAGATGTGAGGTACGCATATCTGTCCATGGTAACCATACACCATATTACAGAAAAATGTTTTCTACAGGAGGTGACTTAATTTTTCCATACTTTTCCAATGTCCATAAATTTAGTTTTAATTTCAATGGCTTGCGAATAATAAATTGCCAAACATAATTTATATAAACTAATGCTTTTGCACAAATTCCTATTAATAATTTTTCATTAATTATCAGTTATGTTTTATTTCTGTCATTATCCTTTAATTTTGGTGACCAGTGTATTTTGCTACATGGACATATGAAGAAAATCCGCAAGAAAGATTCAAAAAGATGTATAAAAAAACTACCATGAAATGCTGCAGCATGGAATGATTCAGTTGGGTAAGCCTTGTAGTGTAATGACATGTGAAACAAGGAAATTTTTTTACAGTGCCTTTGCAATGACCCCCAACACTAACTTAATGCCATAACAAGTAACTGCAGTTATTTGGGAACATGGAAGATCTACATGTACTAAGTTTTAGCATTTTGGTTCAAACTGCACTAAATAGTCATTGAGTAGTGATTATCATGAGCACAATGTTGCATACGATATACAGATAATGTAATTATAACATTTTCTTGGTTTCATATTAGTTTAAATTTTTAAATTTTAATTTTATATAAATCTGGAGAATTAAAAAAAGGCGAAAACATTCATGATATGACTAATATGCTAAAAAATGACTGCAACAAAATAAACTGATTAATTTCCTGATGCTTATATAAGTGAAAATTTGGTTATATGAAGATTCCAGATACACTCTAAGATATAAAAATTGACACACCACAGAACAGCCAAACGAGACAAAAAAACTGGTAAATATGAATCACATATATGAATATAAAAAGACATTAAAATTTCAAAAAAAATGGATGATTTTACCTAAGAGCGAGAGAGAGCTAACCCCAATGAGAAAGTCAATAAAGTGTTGATCCATTTCTTTCCTGGATGCAAGACCACTTGCCATTGCATTAAATCATTAAGTTGGCAGATCATGCCCAGTAACTGGCCTGTGCAAAAAGCGTTAGTAGAGATAGGATCACAATAGTACCCTAAATGCCCCCAGACACTTCAGTGATGGCTGTTATCAGCTCAAAACAGATCATGTCTTTGAAAAAAATTAGCCTCTAGACATTGCAATTACAAGTCAGATGAGTCAGGCACCACTGCAATTGCACTTGACTGCACTTTTCACCAGCACTCATACTCACTAAGTATGAGTGCTGGTGAAAAGTGCACAGCACAATGTGCAATAAGAATACAAATTCTGAACTCGGAGTAACCTAGAAGTAGTCCCAGTTCTTATTTCTGAGCAGAATACATGTCTGATTGTTATTACAGAAAATTCAAGTGTTGTGAGAGCCGTTATGATAATCATCCATTCTGGTTGTCATCCAAAATTAACTCTTGTCTTCTTGACACAGAAATCTCTTAACAATGAATCCTCTTAACACTGCTATCAATACTATTAAAATCTGTGCACGTCTGTCTGTTTGTAATCATCCTCTCTTGAATTCCTGGTTAGCCATTTGATCATCCCCATCTTCGTACAACTTTAATTAGCTGAGATATTAATTAAAAAACGCTTTTCCAAACGATAAATTCAACATGCATTTTTCACTTCCTTTGTTGGGTTTTTCCCTATTGCTACGCACCAATTTCTTTTTTCACAAATATATATGGAATAGCGCTTAGTTGAATTTCAAGACACATATTCCCTGATTAAAAAAATTTGTCAGAATCCATTGATACCATTCTCATCTTCATATGACTTCAGCTGAGATATTAATTAAAAACTCTGAAAATGCTAATTTGTATGACACTCAATAACCACTTTATGGATTTTTTCTTAGGTTTTCCCATATGGCGTAGAGATTTGGCACTGTGCCAATATGTTAAAACCTATATACCACAATAGGGATTTTTATTTTTAGATTTTTTTGAATAATGAATTGTTCTAGCTTAAAATTATTTGTTATTTGATTTTTTTACCAGCAATTTCTCAGTAAGTTTTGGTTATCAAAACATTATTTTGAAGTCTGATTAAAAGATAAAGTTTTACATTAAAGCATTAAAATACCAAGCATCTTCACAAATTTAACATGGGAACTCTTTTAGACATGAACAATGAATAAAGCGGGCTTACTCGCTCAGCTGGTGGGCTTGCCCACTAGTTATTTATTAATTCCTATCAACAACATTTAATAACTACATTACTTCCGTATCAAGTGATTCTTCAAATTACCCACATAGCCTTTTTTAGCTTATATTGCAGTGGTAAGATGTCTTTTAAATCGTGCAATATAAGTGTAATGAGTGTGATGAGAAAGGCATTGTTACAATCGAAATGAGTAGTTGCAATCAAAATATAATGGAAGTTTTGCTCCTGAATTCAAATTTCTCTGCTTCATATACATTCAAGAAGTTTATTTCTGCTGCACTGACCAGAGGCTATTCATTCGACAGGTGCCAAATTTGAATCATTTTCATACTATGTAAAAAGGTATTTGAATGCAAAAGATTATTATAATCAGATTGTTATTTTTTTTTCCTGGTGCATTGTTTTTCGTGTTTTAGACTACATATGATCTACTTTATCAAACCAGAAAATTTTACACATATGGAAGGTGTCTAAATAATTAGTACCAGAAAAATTTGGAATGCTATTTATTATTTACCTTTTTTAGAAGAAGCAGATAGAGGTGGTGATTTTCCAATAGCCAATGATCTCGTAGAAACTTTTTCTTGGGATCTAAAAGCAAAAATATTTAATCAATGAGAATAATTAGCTTATTAGCTACATAATTCCATGCCTAAAATAATATAAAATTGCACTGCTCTTAAACATCAAGCAAGTGATAAAAATTCTGAATTTTGAAATGTTTAGATTTCATTGGATGATGAATTCCAAGTGATTTAGAAGTGAATATGTAATTCTGGAGAGTAAATCTTAATAATTTTTGCAGAAATATACAAATTGAGTATAGGCTTAAGATGAAGCCTTTCTGAAACCTTTGATTAGATCATTTTAATTGCTGATAGAAAAATTTTATAAAAAGATTCTTGTTATTTTTTTGGTTATATAAAATCAATCATTGGTCAAAGAAAATGACTGGATGATTTTCAGTACTAAGATGCTACCAGTCAACTTAAAACAGGAGAATCTATTAAAGACAAGGCAGGATAAAGGTGAAACAGTGAGTGAGGTACTTGCCTCAAGTGCACAAATATGAGAGGCACACACTGTATAAACAAATTAAAAAATTAATAAAAAATATTTAAAAAATTAATAAATTTATTCCCTTCCCTCATATATATTTTATGTAGTTGAAATCAGGTTTTGTGCAGCACATTAATTCCAAGAATGGAATGGCAAGAATTTTGTGTTACAAAATTACCAGTCACATGAACAACATTGCCCAACCCAAAAGTGTTATGATCCCAGTCCTATTCACAATACTGTAAATAGAGAACAGTTTCAAGTCTTTAGCCTCGTATTAAATTTTAGCTGAACTCTTCTAGAATTGCAGTGCATCTGGAGGTGAGGAGAAGGAATTAGAAGCTTCTATCTCAAAAATACAATAAAACTGCAGAACGTTTCAACAACAAATTTTAGGATGTTTTCGAGTTAGCAAGGGAAACATATATTTCCACATAATCTGTATACAAACAATAAAAAACAAGAAACAAAATGCAATAAATATATAAATGTCTCATATACTGCTAAGAACTTCTGAAAGAAATGGCAAGTTCTCAAATAACATGACAAAACACGTACAGAATGAACATTGTTTGGTGGTTTTGTTCTACGGTGAATGTTACTGCAATGCTAGAAAGGCTGTAGAGCAGAATAGATAGAAATTTCTGTCACTCAAGTATCTAGCAGCATAAACTATTTCCAGTGTGACTTGTCATCTTAAAGGAACTGGAGGTGTTGTGGATCCAGTGAAAATGAGTAAGCATATGGCAATGGTAAATGCTGTAGTATGTGCTCTTTCCTAAGTCCAAAATCCAGCACAAGATATCAACGAAGCTTATGCATATGATAATAAATGTAGCAGCAGAGAACCACCCATACAATACTGTAGTCTGTTACTTTAAAATGAGCATGAACACATCAGCAAAGGACAGCCTTTTTTTGTGCAATTTTCAGGGAGAAAATAAGCAGTTATTTTTACCTTGGTTACTATTATTTCACATATCTCTGCTTTTTCACATGCATATTTCATAGAACTCTGCTTTTTAAATGCAAATATTAAACATTAATCGAATCTGCATATACTATAGTATAAGTATTTACATTTTACTTAATAGTTTTAATATCATGCCCAAATTTATTGCATGGAATATAATGCTGGATATCTATTTACATGAATAAACAAGAAAATGATTTATGATTTGGTAAGAAAGAGGCAAAGAGGACAAACCTGGCTCTTGTCAGAGGTACATATTTTCTTACATAACCAGAAGTACACCTTCCTCTAAGAGACTGAGCATGCTGTCTTAACCATTCTTTTACCCCTTGGACTGATAGGAAAGGAGAATTGCTTATCTGAGATTTAGGATTATGGCCAGACGCATCCAAAATTGAAACCAATAATGATTCCCCTATCTGAAATTCAGAATATTGAGATAAGAAATATAAAGATGCATTCATACTTAATGTAAACGAAAAAACTTTTTTTCAATGGCAGAATATCTATATAAATACATTTTACATGTAAAATGCATGAAAATACAACTATGTAGCTGTTGTATTCCTCCAGCATCACCTGCAACTGTCCTCCAGCCACAAACTTACTAAGTTGCAGAAACAGTAGGAAGCTACATAGACTGTAATGTCTTTTTTAGATTAAGTAATAAATAAATATAAGCAGTGATAACTTTATGTTTTTCTGCACTGATTACTTTCCACAGTTCAAATAACTGCTTTGTTGGTTCAAGTTTGAATAAATTGCTTGATAATTACAATCTGATGCTTAGCTGGATATTGGCATACCAGTCTTCCCTCCAACAAATCCCAAAATGTAGCTCTCAGACACGAATTAATTATCTAGCACTGTGTAGTATTTTACTAACTTGTTCTTGTTTTGAGATGACATTTTCGCTTCATTTCTCATTAGTTATGGTAATGTATCATAATCAAGAAAATGTAGTTGATCTCAAAGATCAGTGAAAAACTTTGCCAGCAGTGGAGTGTGAGGAATTCAAATTCTCACCACAAGTTACCCCTGGGGATACATTTATTCCAAAAACAAAACCAACAGATTTGGTATCAAGTAGATTGAACAATACAAATATTTACCATAATACTAATTTTATATACTTTAATTGCAAATGACTTCTTGGCCATACATAATTAAGCACATAAAACTAATCTATGCTTCCAAGATGCTGTTTTAATAATAAAAGCAAAAGTTCATTAGAGCAAAATTTGTAAATAAGCAAAAAGTTCCTGATAAGAATTATACAGGTTCTTTAAATTTAGAAATATAAAAAGGCATCAAGTATTAGGTAACAAATGGTTTAAATTCTTAGGACACATTTGGAGATTACTAGAGAATTATTAAGGTAGATAATAGATGAGATAATTCAAATTTCAACTATGATATCAAAGACCCTATTATTTCACCAGCTATTTCATAATTTAACTAAACTATAGTTAAACCATTTCATAACCTAAAATTTCACATTGATGCATACTATATTCATTACAATGTCTCATTCATTTAGATCTTGATCAATAAATAATAGAACACTTGAGTCAAAAAAATTTTGAATTCATAATTTGTAATAAAACCATACTAGTGCTTTTTCAAGAAGTCATGGGTGATTTACTATAACAATATTAGAACTGACTTCTTCATCATCGCTATACTTCTTACACGAAATCTCAAAATCAAAGAAAATATATTTTTTCTTAAGTATATACAGCAGTTTTTTTCCCCTTGCTACAAAGCTCTTTATATGGGATTATTAACTGATTTAATCAGCAGCTCTTTCAGTTACTTTAAAGTGTCTTCCCCTCATATAAACATGGTAAGTGTCAATATTGGGTCATCCCAAAACTTCTGGGATTTTTCAAAACAAAGTGTGTTTTTGTCTAATTATTTTGTTACTGCTGATATGGAATAACCTTGATTTGCTTTTTTCTGCTCACATTGCATAATTCTAGCATGTGTCATAGCATAATATTTGTTTCAAAATAGTGCTAAGACTAGAGAAAGTTCATTTTCATCATATTATGTTCTTTATCATGTTATGTTATTTCAGAAAGAGGAAATGAAAAAATATTAGTCAGACTGCTTGTAAAATTTGTGATATACAGTTCAAACCCCGCTATAATGAACTTATGAAAACCTATAATGAAGGGACTGGAATTTTGGTTTGCAATATCTAATTTGATAAGAAAAGTAAATTTTCTCACTAAACTATAAAAACGATGTTTTTATATTTGTAAGAAAGATTCAATACATTTTCAAGAATATTCTATGTCTTTAAGAAGTCTTAAAGAATGCCAAACCCTCATTCAGATGACAGAACTTGGATAGCATTTATACTCAAAAAAGAAAAAAGAAAGAAAGAATAAACATAAAAAATATTTATTTCGAAAAGACAAATCAGGTGTATAACCCACACTCATAATATTCATTATTTCCTCTTTTCCTAAATAGCAAAAATTTCAAAATTTCCATCGTATCATATTATCAGCTTTGAATAGAGCTCTGTCTAATAACTCAGTCAAATACTTTGAATGGAATCAAAGAACCCACTTACATTCTTTGGTTTAATGGTCATATACACCACACACAAAAAACACCATATGGTGTGCATAGTCTGTTTTAGAACACAAAGAAATGTAGGGTTGAACATACAAGAAAAACATGCAAAGGTTATTTTCATTAGAGATGGAATGTGTAATATGTAGTCCAATATCCTAAATGTGAAAGCTTTTAATAGCTAGTAATTTTTTTATTAAAATTTGCAGAAATTCTAGAAAAGATATGGAAAAAAAACCCTTACAATCATATATCCATATAGTTAGTTATATCCAATTTTCATGTCCCTGGAAGGTTGCTATAGCAATAAAATATAACATGTAGCATATAGGAAATTGGATGGGACTAAAAGGTTCATTTTGGAGTAAAAGGTTCATAGTTATAGATTGAGGTTTTCTGTAGCAGGGTTTGAAATGGAATGCATATGGAAAAAGTGTTGTTTCTGAAGACACAGTTCAAAGGTGATTTGAGAGGTTTAAGCATAGATACTTCAATCCTGAAGATGATGTCTACTTTGGATGACCATTCTCTGCAAACAAGAACTTATTAAAAGAAGCTGTCAATGAAAATCCAAGTTATACTGTTCAGGAACTAACAGACAGAATAAAGATTCCAAAAAGTACAGTGCATGATCATTTGAAGATGATTAAGTATGTCAGCTGCTATGATGTATGGGTACCTCATACTTTAACAGAGCAAAATATGCTTGCTCAAGTTTTGACGTGTGATTGTTAGCTGGAGGGGGGCAATAGAAGAAACTCCATTTTTGAAATGCTCATTACCAGAGATAAGAAGTGGATACTGTACAATAATGATACGAGAAAAAAGATTATGAGGTGTTGCCTTCCATCATGACAATGTCCAGCTCCATATTTCAATGAATGTCAGACAAAAACTTATTGAATATGGCTCAGATGTTCTCTAACTTAACCTTGTACTCACTTAACCTTGTGCTCTTGGATTTTCATCTCTTCAGATCATTTCTAAGTGGCCTGGAGGTCACTTCTTTGGAGACTGCTAAACAGTACGTTGATAACTTCTTTTAAAATAAAGTTTTAATAATACAATAAATAAGCTTATAAATAATAAAATAAATAAACAATAATAATAATTACAATAAACTTATAAATAAAAATTTTAAAAAAGGAATTCTCCAACTGCCCGAGAGATGATAAAAACGTCATATGGTCATAAATGATGCTTATTTGATTAGATATGAAAATTTCTTATGTTTTTGTACTGCTTAATTTGTATTTATCAACAAAAACCACAGAATTTTTTGGATGACCCAGGATATTCACTGATAATGTTCCACAGTTTCAGCAACTGTTGTATAATATAGTTTAAATGATTAATACAATACTGACTAATTATTTTACGTATGAAAGTATAGTTTGGAATTTCACTTCTTCCAAAGCTGTATTTCCTGATGGCTTTCCAGAGGTGGATAATTAATATTTTGAATTTCACAAGAGTAACTGCATGTTCAAAATTTTATTTGAAGAGCAAATGATATTTGTTGCTCAAATTGAAGCAATTGTGAACAGTAGACTAATCATACCACAACACACAATACAGATGAATCTAATATTCTTACTTCAGGCCATTTCAGCCTATGTAGACCATTAAATGCATCATTAAATGGTAAAGAAAAGGAAGGTTTATTGATTGATAATAAGATAAATGCAGAAACTATCACATTAGTTCAATTAATTTGATATAGATAACAAATACATTATCTTGATAATTTAAGCAAAAGTACAAAGGTTTGTTTGATGAAGAAAATGTATTTAAGGGTTTCATTGTACTAATTAAAGAATATAATATCTCATTATGTGACTGCGGATGATTAGAGGATTTCTGAATATTTCTTATGACACTCCTCTAAACTTTGGCAATAAAATTATAATTTTTTTAACAGTAATAGTACTTTACTTAACAAGAATTTAAAAATCTCATAAACGGCACTTAACAAGAATTTAAAAATCTCATAAACATGTTACAGGTTATATTTTTATTATTTTCAGACAAAGAGCACAAGAAATATAATAATAATATTAGAGCAACATACATATTAGTGTTTAATGGTATAAAAGCAAGAAAAATAAATAAATAAATAAATTATATTGGAAATATACTAACATGGAAACACAAAAGATTTACCTGGTGATAAATTTCAGGAGTGAAGAAAACTTGAGAAGGCACGTCATTTGATCGCTTAGGTCTTTTTTGATTAGCATTATAACGACATGTATTGTAATTGCATTCTAAAGTATAACTGAAAAATAATGAAGAAATAAATTTCTTAGCATTAATATTTTAATCTCTTGTGCTTGCATACACAGAAATAGTTATTATAAATTATACACATGAAAAAATCCTCACTGGTCAGGGTTTAAATTAAACTAGCAAATAAGTATAATTTTTTGAATGAAATCATAATTTAAGTTGCAGCCCCAAATAAGATGAGCTCCAATTTTTTTTACACTTTTTTTTTGCCATTAACTTAATTTATTATTATTTCACCTTTTCATATTTTATTTAATTGAAGTTATTCATTATTTATTATTTTATTTATTTTTTATTTACTTTCCTGATGGCTTTCCCTAGGGCTGCAGTTACTTCAATTTTAGAAATTAGCTCTGCTAGTGAAAATACAGTTACAAAAAAAAAAAAAAAAAAAAAAAAAAAAAAACTAAATTTACATGTGCATAAGATTAATTTGTTGCAAACTGTCACGTACAAATAAATCACTGACGACTGTAAAAAATTACTTTTATTTGAGACCATACTGTAAATTTAACACATTAGCATAAAATCTGAAGAACTTATTTTACAAATAAACTTGTGTTACATATGAAATTAAATTATACATGTAGTTCTTTAATTGCCTGCTGCATTAAATTTAAACGCACTCAGAAATAATTATCAAATCCCTTTTATATCAGTATACAAACCAGTTGTGTAAGTTTTCCCTGACTGCCTCAAAACAGTGCAGGTTTCTAAAATAAAATCGCCTTATAACCCCAATTTATACACATCAATCAATCTTCTCCCAGTCCTGAGGAGGGTATTGGAAACAGGCAGTACTGGACATCTAACGATTTCACTTCAAGAACAAAGGATTCACGTGTAGTAATCAATACGGCTTCAAACAGCAATCTTCAACCATCCATGCAATTTAAACAGTCATCAACCAACATCACTAAAACAAATGCCATTAAGTTTAATCTGCAATACTTAGCCTAGAACTTTGACATGGTTTCAACTCGCCATTGTGGCCCTCTATTCTGCATGCTTTACGGCACATAAGCTGCCCAAAGAATCTTTTCAGCATCATAAATGATTTCTTAAACAATGGCAGTAGCTTATATAATAATACCCTCATCTCTCGAAAGTAAATACGTGGATGTCACGGGGTGTCCTGTATGGGTGGAGACATTGAGAGCATTGCTTTCAATAAAATAAGTAATTAAGACTGGTCGTATAACTCAAAAACTAGTACGCTTGCTGACGACATTGCATTTGTCGTGAACTGCCACTGCGATACTCTAGAAAAACTGAAGAACCCAAACCGAAATATTTGAAAATATATGTAAAAAGCACCAGCGGGAAATCTCCCTACTAAAGTCATAGGTCATGGCAATACACTAACCAGGCCAGACTATTACCAAACATCTATCTCTGAAAATCGCGGACGGAAGAATTCAAAACGTAAAAATGATAAAATATCCAGGAATTCACACTGAACAAACGCAAAATTGTATCCACCATCTAAAGGAGATCAAAGCACACACTCACTAAATAAGATTCAACCTATAACGAATGAACAGATATAACTAGGGCCTAAACCTCCATATAACCAAAATTTTATATGACGCCGAAATAACCAAAATAGCGCCACCATTTCAGCCATACCTATGGCTGAGCGCAAAAAGAAAATTCTAACCTCAATTCAAAAAAAAAAGAAAGAAAGAAAATTCTAACCTCAATTCTCCCGTTATGCATAAAATAAACGTCAATTTATTTTATGCATAACGCGTGGATTTCATACAACTTCAAGTGCTGCGCTCAGTATCGTTGCCGGATTAACACCTCTACATCTATATGCTACAGATGAAGCTAGTTATACAGGAGTCATGCAGTTAAAACATTTCCTTTGATGACCACCTTTAAACCTTAGAGAAGTGAAGAATACGAATATCGTCCCCTCCCTATAACAGGCATGTTATTCTTCTGTATAGAAGGATAAAATTTCAACAAGAAACAGCACAATCCATCAGCAACAAAACCACGGCATTAACGGATGGCTACAAAATACATGGAAATGTTGGATGTGCAGTTTACCTAACTATGCAAAAGAACCTCAAAAATTGTATATAATGGCAAGGATAGCTAAAAGACAATAACTGCATTCATCAAGCAGAACATCAGACTCTGAAATAAGGTAAAAATGTGCCGCCACCCATATGAAGTTCGGTATCATGAATAAAGCAACCCTCACCAAGGTTGTTGGGAAACCCATGTAAAAGTCTTAAACTTGGCAAACAATCGCACACATCTATAAATATGACTGTATTATGAATTTGAGACGAGGTAAAGACGATGGGGTTAAAACGTCAAATTTAATAACGGTTAACAGTAAATTATTTTTCGATTTTTTAAGTGTCATTAAATCCTTTTCCTCTGACGAGTTTATCATTCTTTTTTATCCACGAATTCTAGAATTATGATTAATGTTTCATCCATTTAAGCCATCGATTTCAGGTAACCATACAGCGTCACACGCATCGGAGCTTTGGAAAATTTTCCGAAATTCCCGATAGCCCTCTTCGTTTTTGATGATTACTACTTATCAATTAGGCTGTCTCCTCTCTCCCTATCTCTCTCAGACTTTCCAACCATTTACAAAATGGTTTAAATATCAGCTATCTGAAGTCTGATAAATGGAATATCTGACGCTTCTGCAAATGGAAAATTCTGGAAAGCTTTTAAAATCTTATAAGAAGGTCAAGAAAATACTCAGGAAATAATTGACCGGATTTTCATAGAAAAATAGTTTATGTAAAGTTTATGATAGTAATAGTGGTCAAATTGAAAGCTATGTTTCGATGCAAAAATGCTCGAAAATTTGCAAGCATTTTAAAGTGAAGCAACCTGCCCTGATTACCTGCAAATATGAGTTTCTCATATCTTTCTGTATATATATTTTATTGTATCAATAATTTTTCATTATTTAATATTCGTGAGAAGGTTAAGTAAAAACTTTACGCATGTAGAGAAAATCTGTAATAAAAATTAAATTATTAAAAGATCTTACCTATGAATAATTCCAGTGAGTACATATAAAGAAACACGTCCACTTCCTTCTTTGCTCTGAATGTTTGAATTGGACCCAGAATACATATTCTCGGCAGAAAAATTACACGCAGAGAAATCAAAATAAGGACAATTGATGGACATAAGTTTTGGCAGAAACATACACTCAACCTACATAAATGAAAAATTTTAATCGAATGCTATGGCAATATATATACTTATAATTGGCATATCAAAGCATAGAATTAAGCTATCAGATTTTCATTCTTTGAGAAATATTTAATTATAACAATACGAAAAAACAAATGGTTATCATTCCGTTTTTGCATACTGTTATTCAGTTATTATATTAATAATCATATATCGAGGATTAAATGCCAAGTCAATATAGAATGCAAAAATTTTAATGCTAAACAACCATTTAATTATGAATCTTGAATTATCCACATGTGATGAACTATCTTATAGTACTCAAGACCTCAAATTATTATATTCTACCCTTCTAGTCTATTTCTCTCAATAAGAAATACAAGTTTCGGCTTTGGAACTGTCATCAAAAAATAGGATTTAACTATATGACAGCATGCTTCTTATGAAATTGTGGAAATCTATATAAAATAACATGATTTTTTACTAGAGCTAGTTTAAGTATATGGTAATGTAAAAAATACCTTCTACATTATTCCCAGTGAGAAAGTTTAAATAGTATAATTAAATAATTTCAAAACTACTACTACTAATAATAAAGAGTTTAAGTTGGAAACAAACTAGGATGACAATTCAATCTTGAAATACAAAAGGATGATCAACATTGCAGTCAACGTTTTCTTAAAAATAATATAAAAATTCAATGGCATTACATATTAATTTCTATACGAGCCAGTTTCCCTTAGAAAGTCCTCCACGAAGGTATCCCTGCCCTTAGGCAGATAGCCCTAGTGTGCTTTGCCGTGTTCTCAATGCACCACCAACACTATATTAATTTCAGCACTGTAAACATTAAATAAACTATATTACAATATAACTATTCTTCAAAAAATATTGATAGTACCATAAATCACTGATAATTTCTGCGCATTTTTCCACATTGCGATTTCAAAGAATGTCGACTTAAGTGTGAAAAGTAAAATGCAAGTCGTTAACAGAAGAATTTAAAAATTAATTGGGATAATTTGATCATGTTGAAGTAATCATTAAAGAGAAAGTATTAGCACAAAAAACGAAGCAACCTAAACAACTTACATTGAAAGAAATGTTTAATAAAGTAAACAAATAAATATTAAGTTTTTTTTTTTTTATTTTGATACCCTTTAGATCATAACTGCTCTTTATTTCATAAATTACAGTTTCATATTTTTAATTGCATAATTTCTGCATTCCATCTTACCAGATTTAAATTGATGATCTATAATCAGAAAAAAAAAAACCCTAATCTGGAATTGCCGAAGTCCCGAAGAGTCCAGATTTCGGACTTTGTACTGTATAAAAATTAGATTATAAACCTAGCCAAAATATTTGCAACCAGTAATGCTGCATATTTTGATTGCAAACGTATCTTGTTCTTAACATGTTTTTACAAGAAAAATATTGACATTTAATTAATAATCAGTTATAATAATAAATTACTTATGTTTTACCTCATTCATTTGTTTTCTTCCTTTCTGCACTTTTTTCTGTTGGTGCATGCATACTAATAAAGATAACTCATGCCACAAACATACCATTAATTTAAATTATCATTTACGCTTAATTAATTACTGTTTACAATTATGCAAAATTAAATTTTAATCAGATATTGTTTTAATGCATACTTTTAAAGCTAGAAGAAAATATTGTTTTTTTATACTAGACTCAAATGTGATTTATTTAAAGAAAAAAAGAGTGAATTAACAAATGTGACGTAATTTCTTCATCAATCTGAAAATCCAAGAATCTGACAATTTAACTTTAACTATTTTTTCTACAGATGCAACTGTACTTAATGAAGACTTTTCTTTACCTATAACTTAATTTTTGAATGATTGATATTCAAATGCTGTGTATGATAACTCATCTTATATTAAAAGAGGTAAAGCTAATACACATTTAACTGCAATTTAGCAAAATAAAAATTCTGATGATTGACACTAAAAGTTTGTGGTCGTTAATTATTATTATTGTTGTTGTTATCATTCCCAAAGGAAAATAATAAATTAGAATTAGCATAAAAAATAATTTATTTTGATTGTAATATTTCAGGTGCTCATTTAAGTTAGAAAAGTACTTAAATTTTCTTTATATTGATAAAGACTTAACAACCTAGCACGTTGGGCTAGCATCGGAAGATCCATGGTTCAAATTTCGATGGGGCAATAGCAAATTTTCTGGCCTGAAAAGTCCTTAATGTCTTAAAAATCTAAAAAATTACATCAAAATTTTCAATGAAATAGCTTCCTAAACACTAATCACATCATTTATTTATGTCCTAAATTCCAATTCGGAGAACAATTACTGATTAAAATCAAATTATCCTACTCAGCTACTTCTCTTTCGATTCACTCAGACATTCACCAAGATTCTAAATATGATAATGCTAATGGCTTCGTTTATTTAAACGAACAAATAAAAAATTCTACAGAATATCGTATTGTCATCATAAATACGTGTCAGAATCTGCACGATAATCGGGTTGCTAGAAATGGATAAGAAATTAATATAAAGATTTGGCCCACATAAACAGAGAAACCAAGTTAAATAAAACTGTCAGAAATTTCGAAAAACATTCATTTGGACAAGTCTTTCCCGCTCTCTCCGATACCGTGGAGATAAAAAATTCCGCGACGATTAATTAACCTTTAAACAAGGGTGTCCGCCAAAAACATCGCAGACGAAAACGTTCTGGGGAAAACAACGCAAGGCATATCGTGGTAAAAATAAAGCACCTACAAATCATCGCATGACGATAACATCGCAAACATGCAGTTTTCATTTTTATGTTTCATTTTTTGAATGAACTAATAATCCGATCCCTAAAGATCCTTCACCTTCGGACTTGTCAAAAATAAAAACTGCGATCAAATCTTCGCAAATCATTTCAAGCAATTTAAAACATTCGCTTATCCCATCTGTTGCGAATTGTGCCAGATTATATGCTCTTCCCAAAATTCATAAAAGTGGTATAAGGAATACCAGGCCTATTGTATCAAATTTAGGTACTGCCTTGTATCCATTAGCTAAATATTTAGTTTCTAGATTTTCAACTCTATTAGAGAATAACATTTACACTATAAGAAATTTAATAGAGTTTGTAAAAATGGCTAAAAACATTTCTCCTAGTAATTTAATCATGATTTCTTTTGATGTAAAATCATTATTCACCAATGTCCCAGTGGAGGGTGCATTAAGATGTCTAGAAACCAGACTTCACGAATTTCATTTTTCTTGCATCGAAATTGATGAGCTAATTTCTCTCACTCAACTCTGTTTGAAACAAACACATTTTGTTTTCCAAAATAAATATTACAAGCAAACTGAGAGATTAGCCATGGGAAGCCCCCTCAGTCCCATCCTGGCTGATATCTACATGCATTATTATTAATCAAAATTGTTTGAAACTTTACACTTCCTGGCATGGTTCCGCTACGTAGACGATACTTTTACCCTGTTTGAAAGTAATAAAGATGATTTAAATAAAGTTCTTTCAAAAATGAATTCTATTGATCCTGCTATTCAGTTCACTTTTGAACTTGAGACTTGCAATTCTCTTCCGTTTCTTGACATTCTGGTCACACGTAACACATCCAACTTCAGTACTACGGTTTACGGTAAACCTTCATCGGTTTGCCTTCCACCACACTTTAAATCATGTCATCCGACTAAACAAAAATTAGCTTCATTTATTCCTATGTTTCCCGTGCTCTTCAGTTTGCTCCTCCAAACTAGCCCTTGATGAAGAACTAAATTATTTAAAGCAATAGCTATTGACAGGGGCTTTCACCCAACATTATTAATCAAGCAGTTAAAAAATTCTCTTCTCAACACACTAAAAGGCACACTCTTGTTTTAGGAGATTATAAAAATTCTGTTGTCCTTCCCTTCTTTCCATCAATTAGCTATAAAGTGCACATATTTGCAGAAATTTAACTTTCGGGTCGTTTATTCTCCCATCAATAAAATTCCAGTTCCATACTCAAGGACCCATTCCGGATATGAATTCCTGGGGTATTTATAGGATTCCTTGCCAGTGTGGTTTAATTTACATTGGCCAAACTAAGAGAGCCTTAAAATTTCGCGTCAAGGAACATGAGGCATATGTTAGAAGAAAGGAAACACAGAAGTTTTCAGTTGCTCAACATTGTTGGTCCGAAAATCACACTTTCAATTTTTCTGCTGCCAAAATTATTCAAAAAACATCTTCCATTGGAGAATTGGATTTTCTAGAGGCATTTCACATTCATAAAAATCTTTCTGTTCTAGTTAACGATCCTAACTCCAATCCAAATTTGCCTTCGGCCTTTAAAGAAATTATGTTTTAGTTCTGGTTTCACCAATAGATGGCGCCACTTGCTTATTATTGTCCAGGCTTTCTTATCTTATCTAATCATTATTTCCTATCTTGTTCATTTGCGGTTTTGCAGCTGAGGATGGTGGTTCGGTAAAACCATCGAAACTAGTCCTGTGAAAATTTTGTAAATATAACGCTGATTTTTGTTGTTTGACCTCTGAATTAGTATTTATTCGGCGTGTTATTGTGTCTGAACTAATAAGTGTTTACTGAGAAAGTAAGAAGGAAACGTAAGCATTTAAAAAATTGAAAATGAGTAGAAAATTAATGCAACTTATAGCACGTAATAAAATTTTAAATTTACAGAGTTCATTGACAAAGGTTATTAATAAATTAATCTTATTTATAAAGTTTTACTCATAATTTTTCATGAAAAATACAGCCTAAAAATGTTTACGAAAATGAAGATAAATAACTTTATGAGGTTCCCTCTCTAAAAATCGCTTAGGTAATTATCAAATTACTTTTTTTTTTTTTTTTTTTTTTACGTTTGTTAATCTGAAACTGTTTTGGTGAAAATTACACCTTGTTTTGTTTCCGTTTATTCTTAAAGTGTCAGTGTCATTAACATTTCTTGCACTTCCAAATATTTATGCGAATATGTATTTATAAGTTTTAAAACTTGAAAAACGTATGTGTGCGATGTTATCGTCATGCGATAATTTGCAGGTGCTTTATTTTTTACCACGATATTTTCGACGACGATGATTTTAAGCTGTGAGGTTTTTGAACCGCTTTATTTTAGACGACGATATTTTGTACCACGATGTTTTAGAAGTGCGATGTTTTTCTCTTTGATTTCTTTTCTCCCACGATGTTTTGTACCCTGACGTTTTCGGTTAGCGTTGTTTTGTCCGCGATGTTTTCGGCTGAAACCAAACAAGGACTTGCAAGAGAAATTAAGCACTAAATTATAATAATAATTATTATAAAATAATAATTCTTGAATTTTGAAAACATTACTGTGGAATATTGTATTGTCCTTCCTCATACATATGTATAAAAATTTTCAAGAAAATCGAGTCGACAGGAAGAGGTCACTAATAAATTTAAATACTTGATCCAAACAAACAAACAAAAAATCAAGTTAAGCAAAACCAATCACAAAGTTTACTTTCTTTAAACATAATGCAGCAACATAAATTTTCATTAAGTTTTTATCCGCTTAGAAAAACTCTAATTTTGCAAAATTTTTGTAATACTTACGAGAATAACTCATATCGTCCCTGTCACTAAAATAGGCTGTTCGTTAAAAATACAGCAACTTTCAGAATGGAGGAAACGGGGGGGGAGTATATAAAGTCACATGTATGGGGAAAAGAGGTTAGGAATTCTCGTCCATGCAGAATTCTCCACTTTAAAGTATATCATGCAGTTACATTTTTTATTTTTCTCTGGCATGGGGCATTAATGTAAAAATGGACATATTTCAATAAACCGCCTAATGAGAAAAAAAGGGGCCATATATGTGTATGTAAAAGTGTTAAAAAAGATCATTAGTTATTCATTTTTCCTAAGCAAAATAAAAAACAATATTGGAAATACCATTTTATCAACATCAGGAAAATAGTTTCCATAGATAAAGCAACCTCTTTTAGAGGCATGTCCATGCAAATCGAAATAATATGCTATTCCACTCTCCTCAGGTTTCAAACATGGAACATCTTTCAATAACTTAGAAGCATCTCCTTCTCCTAATCGCATTTCACAATCAAAGGAAGATGAATCATCAGCATCGCTTGCTTCAATACAATTGCACGATGAGTCACTTTCAAGATTTATCTGTAATAGAAACACATTCAAATTCATTTATATAATAGAATTTAAACAAACAATAAATGAAATTACCCTTATAACCAACATAAAAATTACACGCGGAAGATGAAGAAAATGAGCTGTGCTTTAGTTTAAAAGTTAAGCCTTAACTGCAAACATCAGAGATATTAATGAATATTCCTGCTCTGTTGTAACGATCACAAATATCCTCCAGATACACAGTAAAGTATATAAATTTTATCTGAATTATACATATTTTCAATAAGAATAAACATAAAAGCATACTTTATTTTCAGGAAAACGATATGAACAAGTACATATTGTCATTTAATCATAACACATAAAGTTCAAAAACCGATAAATTCAACCATAATTTTCGAAAACTGACACCAGCTTTCTTCACCGGAACAAAAAGACAAGAATGACATCGATCAAAAGTAGTGCCATTTCTTGCCCCACAAAATTGCCCCCCTACTTTACCTAACTGCCATTGTAGGTCAGACGAAAATGAGAGTACTTCAGATTGGGAAATCAGTCACAAATAATACGCAATCTGTTTTCGACCCTTTTTAATATAATGATAATACAGGACCATTTAAGCAAAACCAACGCTTCTACGCTTCTTGAAAAGTGGTAATTAGAATTAAAACTTTTAACTGATGTTACGAATTCCGATGAATGTACAAAGTTTCAAGAAAATCTAACTCAGCAGTAGAAGATAATAATTTCAGTATAACTGCATAAAAGTGAAAAGATTGGGATTTTTTTGCAAAATTATTCAAAAAATTTCAGCTGATGAATTAGACTTGCTGAATTCTTTCATGTTCATGAAGAGTTATCAGTTTCTACGAATTTTAATTACAATCCTGAGAGGTGATCATTTCTAACCATGCATTTCAAATTCCATATTTAAAATCACGTGATATTGTCATATAAAAAGCAATCATAAGTTTCTCGGTTATTTGGTACTCAAATCTGCTCTCACTTATGTCTCCTGTATCTGTGGCCCTCTGTCTGGTTCTCTATCTGCGTGCATGCACAAAATACAAGCCATTCACAGAAAGATCCTTCAACAAGTTACAAACGCTCAAAAATCAAGAATCGAATACATAAATGATTATATAAAGAACAATGCAAACAAATTCTATCTTTCTGTCAAACATCCTCAAAACTTCCCCATTACTATTCAAAAGAACATACTCTTTCCCGTACAAAAATATGTATACATGGCTAAAACCACTTTTTGCCATAAAAATATTCCATCATTATCACACATATTGTTTTAATAATTCCCCGTGTTTCTCTCACTTTTAGTTGAGGATCAGTTATACACTCCTATCTACATTTCATTGCATTTCAGTTGCCAGAAATTTTGATTCTTTCTACTATAACCTTCCAGGATTCTGACACCAGCTTTTCATCATTAACACAAACGCGTCATTACCTCTATACAGATTAAAAATCTAAAATAATTATCAATTCTATGATCCATCCAGTCGCTTATTTGATCTGCAAATTATTTTATTACTACATTATTATTTATTATTCTTACAGCGGTATTTAGCTGCTCTTCCTCAGCTCGTATGCAATCCTCAATGCAACATTCAAACGAAAATAAAATGTTGTCTTATTTCGAAGCTTCAACACGATAGATGCAATGTAATGTACTTAGTACCAGAAAATAGGACGGGGGGGGCAACTTGCAAATTTTCTTCTGAACAAAAATTAGGAGCTCTAAAGAAAGAATAAATACATACTAAAAAAAAAAAATAGAGATGGACATACATTCGAAATAGTCCAAGCTCGATAAAACTTATACTAAAATTTTATTACGAAGGCGACGGCTTTATTAAGAATTATGGAAGCGAAAATATATACAATAAATATGGTCAAACAATATATACGCTGAAAGCCGGGAGCTTCGACTGCGAACGCTGCTGAATAAATCAAACTTGCATTAAATTTCTGCAATGACTAAGAAGTTTGACAACTGGCACTTGCAAGATGGTCTTATTCCGTTAGGCACCCCAGCCTTAGTCGGATGTCATCTTGACGATGAGAAGTGACGAGATGATCAGTAGAATGTAGCCCTTCTTTCTTTTGCTGGGTAACGATGGAGATGGGGATTGTGAAAGCTTCCACGTCTCAGTTAAAAAATATTCTTCTATAAGCTAAAAATCTAAATTTCAACAAAATCTAAAAAGTCGACATTTGGACATACTTTTTATACGGGAGACATGAAAAATGAGCAATGCCCTAGCCAGAACTCGAACCTCAGACCTCTCGAATACGCGCTGAGTGTGCTGGCCACTACACCACGAAGGCATATTAAAAGGGCGGGAGAAATACCTTTCAAGTCCACAAAACCATTAACTTCCAAAATCCAACATTTCCAGTTCTACAAAAGCTATTAACAAGCAGTGAACGGTTACGTTAATTTCTCTTTATATTACGCATAATAAAACAATTACACGTATACAATTTTAAAAAATACACCCTTAAGTGCTCCACTTTACGGGAAATGAAATGCCCCAAACTGTAGTTGGTTAATTAAGGGAAAGCACTGTTTGCTCGCAGGGAGGGAAGCCTTCGTGGAGGACCTTTTAAGGAACTTTGGCTCATATTTACTCTGTACATGGAAAAATTATGAAGAACATGGATTAAATTATTCTCCGTCGTAATAAAAGTTTAAGTTATCGTAATGAAGTAATTTTGATTCAGTTTTTTGGATAAGAATCACGCCGTTGCCCGATTTCCGACACAGTAAGACATTTGGGTTCTTGTCAAAGCAGAAGTTCACAATGATACCTGGTGCCCATTGTTAAACATCTTATTTGTCGCTTTAGTATGACAGCAGTTCTTCATCTTCTTGTCCCTGAGAAATGATATACGTCCTCTCAAAGGAGAAAGCAAGTCTTCAAGGCATTGTACAAACGAAGATGGTGCCATTGGCTAAAGAGTAAATGAAGGCAATGCGACATTTCATACTGGAAATCGGAGATGAATGGTATTCCGATAACCTACCAAAAATAAAGGTAATTTTCGATCCCAAAGTCTGGTTTCAGGAAACAATAAAAGACGATTTAGGAGCATTTGATTAAATCTTTGCCAATGTCCGCCGATATTGGAAACAGATGAAATTATTTAAGTCTTCTCTATGCCGAGGACTTTATGCTTCTTTATAAAAAAACAGAAGTGAAATTAGTTAGGAATAGAAAAAGAATCTTCCTTCACTTAAAGAAACAATCCATCACAATCAAAACGTATGTCCTGCTATCAGAACATAATGAAGAATTTTGCTGGCATTACCTGGATAATGCAGAATAAGACCGAAGATAACGAAATCAAATTTTCTACTCCCCCCTCGAAAAAATGCCTAGAATCTTTTGTATACTCATCAAAGTCGTTTCTCCACTGCATACGCAACATAGCATTTGCATCATTTTCCCGTATCCCCTTTAGTCAACCAGTCACCGAGAGGTAAGAATGCTAAAACTAGTAGTTCGACCTGGTTTCAAATACGAGGGAACAGGCTGTCGTACGGGAGATTTCATAGCTTTCTTCATACATAATGCGAATATGAGCCAGTTTCCCTTTAAAAAGTTCTCCAGTGCTCTCCCATAATCTAATCTAATCATATCCATTTTAGGCTGATTCCAGAACAAAAAAAGGTCCACTAAACAAGCCACTTGATAAATTAGAAACAACAGTAGTAATTCTCTCCAGTTCTGAGCGCAACAACTGAACACACTTGCTTTATGGAGATTTCGTAATATTTTCACGTAAACACCACGACAAGCATTTTTTTCGGACCTTTGATATGTTTCCGTTTTCCTACAGTGAGTTTCTACTTGTAAAGCCATTGTGCATTAGACATTCAAATGTGATTGAAGAATTCTAAAATCTTGAACGGTATCTTTATTATACCACAAACATTTTTCCTATGGTGAAAATTATCTTTTGGATTAGTAATTATTGATTAGTACATTTGTGATATCAGCGATTAGAAACCATTAAGATCTATGACAGACCGTTACTTATTTCTGGCTACAGGAAGAGCTTAAATTGCGCCTCAGCCCGGCTCCGGTACTTCTCAATTTTCGAGATAAATTATAATTTCAGCCCCAGCGCAACGGAGCCCTAAATAAAAGGGTTGCGGCACTTCTTTTATGTAAGTGAACCACAATTTTAGGAGATAAATTTTCTTTTAATAGTAAACGTGCCTTAAAAATCAATTCTAACTTCTGAATGCAGGCCTGGTCTTTGCGCAGAGTTTGAGACTTTTAAGGAAAGAAAAGCTCCCAATCATATGTCAAAGGCTTATTCTCGAGAATGTGCGATGAATTTATAAGAGCGGGCAAATTTTGTGTTCCTCAGAGTACTAAAAGTGATGCTCTGGCCGTGCAAGTTCCGGGCTAGTGACTTCCTACTGCAGAGCTCCTGTAGACTTTCCGAATGATGTAACCAAACGGGGAAACCACTGCTGTCACTTGTACAGAGAAGTGTTAAGTTTATTCTCACATTGTTACCGAATCGTATTCAGCGAAAATTTCTGCTTCACGGCTAGAAATATATCGACAGAGCATTGTGATCAGAAAGTCTTGAATTCTTACCTCTTTATATTCAAAGCTACACTTTTCCATTAAAATTTCCTTCCATATCCTTATACTGTTTCTAGAATTCTTACTATTACTCTTAATGGAGTTTGAATCGTTTTATCCTTTTTCCTTGGCGCGTTGGAAAAAAAAAAAAAAAGTGGTACCTGCCATTTTTTGGAATAGTATATTATACGTATAATCAGTTCTTAAATTCAGACGGAGATCGGCTAAGCTGCTTCTTAGCTTCTAAACGGACTTGTAATTCCAGCCGATGCCCGAAATAAGACAAGATGCGATATATTTTTTCTGTTTAACTATTTAAAAATAATTTAATAATCTATTAGATTTCTCTTTATCTCTTTACATTTCTCCTAATTTAAATTTAATTATTTTAATTTTCAGCTATTT